TAGCTATACAAAAATAATTATTATTTGTTTATTTTAGAGCAAAGCCACATTGGACTATTTGATGTGTCCACCGCGGAGAATCGAACCCCACATTTTAATATTATAAGTACGAAAACTTACCGCTGTCCCACCGGGGGAGAATAATTATTAAAAACGTATTAAACAGCAGTCCTAGTCCTAAAACATCTTTTTATATTCACTTTTTGTATTAATACAACTTAGCAAATATAAGCCCCCAATGGCACAGTGGTATGTCTGCGGACTCACAACCCTAGAAACCGGGTTTAGATACCCGTGGTGGGCAGAGCACAGATAGCCCATTGTGTAGCTTTGTGCATAACTACAAGCAAATATAAAGCAAACCGACATCAGGTATAAAAAGTACCACTAGTTTAGAAAGCTTCTCACAGCGTTTGTATGTTTCAGAATCTCGCAAACAATTATACAGAGGACTATCTGTGCATAGTCGTTCCTACTTTTCAACTAGGCTATGGAGAAGGTAACCAGTCAACAGCAGCCACCGTCAACCCTTGGGATACCCTCATCTGACCGAATATTGGGATTTTACCATCACTCTTACAGCCTCAGAGTGTGGAGAGTATACTTATACAAAGGGGGCGCAAACCATAAATCATCAGACTCATAGTCCTGAGTTTATTAACCACTAGGCCACACGTAACCTTTTTTCATGAGCATTTAGTTACAAGCGGACTATTAATAACACTAGGTTACAACAATACTAAATAGATGAGACACCCAAGTTCCGTAAATTGTACGAAATGAAATTATTGAAATTATTGTAGAAGGAATAACTTGAAACGCCAGACTTTGCAAAACATTTATTTGATATAGATAAGCTAAATACTGCCAAACAAAATATATTTTACGTTCAATATACACAACACACCTTCATGTAGATATAAACCAGTTAAAAAATATATAGTTGTTTCATGGACGTAGGTCAGACCCTTTTTATATCACTTAGAATGAAGCCTATTTGGGCATATTTTTAGTGTTTCTCCTACATCTTTTATCCGTCTTCCTGCTGAATAAAAATCTATGTGTGTGTGTGTGTTTTGTTTTCTATAGCAAAGCCACGGTGGGATCTGCTGTGTCCACGTTGTAAATCTGTAGACTTACCGCTGCCCCACTGGGATATATCTATATCTATATATATAATTTATGAAAATTGTCGTAGAAGACTGTTATTTCAGTGATTGTAATAACTCTTTAACTAATTGTCGTTATACTCCGTACATAGCCATTTTTAACTATCATATGTAACTACTATAAATGTTACATCTTACTGGTCACTTTAGTTAAAACGCTGAATGTTACAGATTAAAATTTCTGTACTCTCATTATTTCAACCATGTTTCAAAAAATTTGAGTACGTAGAATTTCAAATGAGTTAATGGTACTGAAATAACTCTGTCAAGTTTCAACAAACCACTCCACTTTTCACATAAATTGGTAATGTAAGGATAACATCAGGTAAGATACAAAGTAGCACCCCAATTTAAACGAGTCATGTTTGTTTGTTGTTAAGCACAGAGCTACGCAATATACTGTATATATATATATACTGTGCCTGGTTTCTAGCGTTATAAGTCTTCAGAATTACCGCTTAGTCGCTGTGTGTGTATGTGAAATGAATCTTTTATGGTCAATCTTATAAGCTTTTACCTGGAGAGGATTATTAAAAAAAAAGAAAGGAACTTATCAAGTGCAAAGTTACACAACGAGCTGTATGTGATGTGCTTAACACGGGTATCTAAACCCGATTTTTAGCATTTTCAGCCCTCATACTTACCGCTAAGCCATTGGGGGCTATTCTGATATCAACGGGACGTGTTGTTTGGTAAAACTCTTTCAGTTCGGAAAACTTCTTCGCACAATACTTAGACAACTTAATTTGCAATTTGTAAAATACAATAAAATAGTGTTTTCCTTTCATAATATTCTGGAACCTAAGAACAAATGTTAAATACAGGAAAGCTGTATCTTCGTGTTTTCACTTAGCTAAATATTAGGCAACTCTAAGACCAGTAGAAATTGTAAGGTAACTTTACCTTGGGAGAATATAGGTTCAAAATAGTCAATTTCTTAGGCAAATCGACAAATTTTCACTTTGAAATTTTCATTTCCCACAAGGTCCAAGATGGCTTAGCGTTGAATTAGGAAATGTGACTTCTTTCACTATTCTAGAATACATAAAAGTTAGTTTTGTGCTGCTAATTTTTTTTATTTTTTGGCTTCAACACCCTGTAAAACTGTTAAGATTGGTAACAATATTGCCGTAAAGATGACATCACTATCTATGAAGCAATACCTTAATTATGTTTCATACTTCTTTGACTAAACTAAAATATACACATTACAAAACATTGTAATTTAAATTATTTTGAAGCAGAATTAATTAGTTGCTCTTTTTTTGCTCTTCAGATTAGCTGATGAAATAAGTCTATAACTAGTGTTATGTAAAACAATAAGAAATACGTTTCGGAACGCAACTGATTCCATCTTCAGTAGCTATAAACAGGAATATAAATACATTTCTCTAAAGGATAATTATAAATTACAAAACTCTTTATCATTTAGTATAGACAACAGTGGGTTCGATAAAGTGAAATAGAGAACTTATAAAACAATTAACCAATTTAATGATGATGTTCAACTATAGAGAATTTGTAACAGGAAAATTTAATAATGTTGCGTCAGCGAGGTCACGTGACTAGTGTCACGCCACGTTTCTAGAACTATCCTGTTCCTTCGGGAGTGCTCTAGCATTTGCTAGATTGGGGGTGGTCTGGTATATAAAAGATGGTCACGGCGTGACGAGAGAATGTGTGTAGACAGTGAGTAATTGATCTGCAGTCAGAAAGTATTGTTGAAGTTGAGCACGTTCGTTGTTATAGCGTTTGTTTTAGCGCGATTGTTGAAATTAAGTGTATCGTAAAGTTATATTCAGAAAGAATAAACCAGTTTTATTTAAGAAAGGACTTGTGTCGCTAAAGTTTCGTCGGAACGAATTTACGGGAAATCAATTAACGACTGGAGACGTAACAAATATATAGCTTAAAGGCAAACTGTATGTTGAGTGTAGTTCCAGATCACTAGTAACTTTATTGAGGATCGAATACATTTTTAAAACTTAGTTGATAACCTTCCTTCACAATGTTTTCGAATCGAGGAGGAGCAAGAGCTGTTTAATGGTTTTGTGTTTTTATAGAAATACCCACATGCTCATAAGCTCTTAATTTTAGATGGCGTTTGGGTACTGCCGACAAAACAGGCTTTATAGTCTCTACAAAGTGTAAAGATGTACAAGCCATAAGCACTAGGAAACTGGAAGGTAGTCTTTATGGTAAAAACAAAAACAAATAATGACTGTGTGTAGGGTCAGTTTAAAAGTTAATCTAAAGTCAACTTGGGTTAGTAACGATTTAATATGTGTTTAAGTTAATATGTTAAGGTTAGTCTTCATTTGTTAATGTATAGTAGGTTTGTTTGTTTGAAGTTAAGCACAAAGCTACACAATGGGCTATCTGTGCTTTGCCCACCACAGGTATCGAAACCCGGTTTCTAGCGTTGTAAGTCCGCACACATACCGCTGTACCACCGGGGGAGGGGGGCTGTATAGTAGGAATAAGTATAAAGTGAGTATGGGTACTGTAAGTGAATTGGGGAGGGGGGGGGTTGTCAACTTCTGAATACGAAATGTGTGAATGATATTTTCCAGTAAACACCCATGTTGACCTTCTAACTGCCATGTACACTTGACATAAGTTGTTCTGTCAAAAAGTAGCTTACTTTAAAAAATTTACTCACAGAACATAAACAGTCTAAAGATGAAAATATTAGTCAGTCATAGCATACATTGTATATAAGACTGTGTTCGAACTATTGGCAAAAATGGGAGATTAAAGTATTTTCGAATAATTTGACTATGTTTAATCAGCTGTCAAAATAATTTTTCTCGTCTGATGTTATTATGCAAGTTTTATATCGTTTTTATGATTTTCTTTACTAATTTGATGATTTAGTAGCAATTAACTTTTATCCTTTCATTACATACCAATTTTTTTCCAAATTAAAATTACTATGGTATTTATTTATTTGTTAAGATGATATCTCACAGAATTTAACAGGCAGAACATGTTGTCTCGGTTATAGCGTACCAGGAATGTGCAACCAAGAGTTGACGGTTCGCGTCCAACTGCCACAAAAATGAGCTCCGTATATTAAAGTCGTAAGTATGTTCTAAGAATGAATGTAATATCCCAATATTTGATTAGACAGCAATAGCCCAAAAGTTGAAAAAAAGAGTTTTAGTGACTAGCTTTCTACTGTCCAATCTATCAGTTCAAAATTAGGGATGGTTTTTCGCTGATAGCTCTGTGTGTAGATTTGCGTGACAATTCCGAATAAACAGAATGTTATCGTAAAAAGTGTCGGCAAATGCTAGGTTTACACTTCATGGAATTTGTTTTTGTCATTTATAAATGCAATACAGTGAGTCACAAAAATCTTCATCTTTTTTAGCAATTGGTTTATTTGCGATTGGTATCATTTTTGTACTCTAAAATTAAAGTAAGAAACTTGTTTTTGCAGGACTAATGTTTATATTGGAATTTATATTTTAAAATTTGAACCGTAAGGGTCATAAATTTAAAAGTCAAACAATTCTTTATGTAGCGTATTCGAATGAATTGAAGTTCTACTAGCGCTAAAGCGTTAAGCCTAAGATTCGAATTTCAGAGTTATATTATCAGGTGAACTTGTATTAAAATTTAAATACGAATGCGATCACTATAAATATACGACGCATAGTAATGCCTTTAGTTTATATTAAAAAGAATTAACTTTTAATGGTTTAGCAAATATATAGTTTTCTTCTCTTTTATTTGTAACGTAGGGTTTCCCAGGATATCGACAATAACGCACAGTGACACACGTGAACTATTGCTACTACTAGTACCATGTGTGTTTCCTTATCTTTTTCTGTAACGTTAAACTAGTTCAGTCATTGTGATAGACAGCTAAATTATAAGTTTGTAAGACTGAGATGATGTTATTGCTACTAATTTTAGGGTTAGTGAATGACGTCTTACCAACGATTTTGTTGTAACGGTTTTTATATCCGAATGATTGAAACTTGATTTAAACGTAAGAAATCTATCCAATCGTATAACTGAGTAATTATAATTTATAATATCACTGACATTTCTGAAAGTTTATTAGATTTTGTTATTATATACTTGAAATTGTTGAATGTTGCCGTTGAGAACTAAGTTATGTAACTTACAGTGTTACTTTTAGTTACTTATATAACTTATTTCTAAACATTTAAGTTAACAATTTCAGTGTATCTAGTTTACGGACTATTGTTACTGTTAGTAACTCACCAAAATCATTTCAAATAAATTGAAACGCTATAGTATAATGTAACGTTAACACTTCGTTACAACTTAAAAATGGTACTACTACTAGTACTAGGTACAATTGAATTGGCTTATTTCAAGGAAACTAGTTGTAACACTAAATAGCCTAGTGTTGCTTAGTATGTTTTAATTACATAATTAATTTATATTAATAGTCCTTTTATTGCTAGGCATAAATAATCATTTGACCAAGTTAATTAAAAATAACATGTACAGCAAGAGACAACATCCACTAGAGTTGATAATGACTCATTTCATAAGCAAATCACTCAGAATCAAATCTTATTGACCATTAGGCATTACTTCTTCTGTGTCATTGATGTAAATCAAAAATAGAAAAAGTCTAAACATTGAACCCCCAAGTACCATACCCATGACATTAATCCAGGTTGACTGAACTCCATTTTATCCATCCAGTCACTTTTCTATTCAATGAGACAATTTATCTCCTACACCTATAGAGATAATTTTGTAACAAGCATTTTATGTGGCACCTTGTCAAATTCTTTATGATAATCCAGATACACCCACATCTTCAAAAATAATAACCTCTCCTTAACGTATTCCTATATGTGTAAAATCATGCTTCCATCCTTGGAGTCATCTTAATAGCCCTCCTCTGAATTTCTCCTTGTAGGCCAAGATCTTTTCTTTAATAAGTAGATCCAAATGAGGCCTAATTACTCAAGTTAGTGATTTATATAAATACTTAAATAGGTGATTACGTATCTCAACTTGTCATCAACATTCTGAGAATTTTTTTTGCATATTAAAGGGATTTAGACATTTTTCATAATGACTTATTTACTACTATGCCTGTTTCTTGTTCTTTAGTCTTACTGCTGATTAAGTTCAGTGAATACAGCTATAAACACTTGAAAAGTTTACTAGTTATGCCTTTATCACTACCATTAATGTAAATAATAAAAAGTGAAGGTCCAAGCACAGATCCTGAATTACTCCATTAATAATGTGTTTTTTTATACTATCCAACAATTGTATAATTCAATTTGCTAGTCTTTCATCAACTCCCAGTGATGTAAATTCTCTGCTAATTTTTTGTGTGGCATCTTATCAAAAGCTAACTCAAGTCCATACCCCTTCTATCACCCAGCTAATGAGTAAGTAGAGCTGGGCAATTAGTGAAATTTACTAATTGATTAATCATTGTGCTCATTAATAAACTGAATAAACTTGAATTAATTGAAAATAATAAAAAATCATAATGGCAATATTTTGATTACTGGATAGTTGCAATAACTGAAAAATTAATTGAAAACATTAGTTGATTATTTTCATGACATTAATTGATTTAATTGTAATTTTGATTAATAGATTATTTTATGTGATAATACTTTTTATCATTTTTTGAAGATGTTACTTTTAGAGCTGGGTAATCAACTCAAGTAATTGACATAATCAGTTACCTTAGTGCATCAATTAATAGTCATAAAATAATTTATTAATTCAAAAATAATCAAACTTAAGGTTCCCAGTTATTAATATTTTCATCAAATTCAATTATTTTAACTATCCAAGTAATTAAAGTATTGGCATTACGTTTGTTTGTTGCTTAGCACAAAGCCACATGATTGGCTGTCAATGCTCTCTCCATTATCAGTATTGAAACCCAATTTGTAGAGTTACAGGATTTTTGTTTTGCTTTCTTATCCATCTCATGAAAGAACCTAATGTTTAATCAATTATAAAATTTCCACTATTTGCCCAGCTCTATTAATAAGTGTAAAATTATGGATTTGGGATATGGAATTTTGAGAAAGAGTATTAGGGTTATGGAAAGAGACTTAGATATAATTATGGCTAGAAGATTGAAACTTTCTGCTGAGTTTAGTTGTAGTGAAAATAGCAAGTATTGAACTGATTTATATTTGTAGGATATTTTATTTTAAGAGCCAAAATATTATTATAACCTCAAATTAAATTAATAAGGCATCATTTAGAATACTATACAGCTTGGGAATACTCACTATAAGAAATATAGTTTCATTTAGGAGCATAAAATAACTAATGGTGGTTTGATTCAGGCATTCAGTTGTTAATGGCTTGAGCAATTTATGGTTTGTTTGTTTGAGAGGAAAGATTGGAAATGTAAACTCTGATATTAATCTTAACTGTAGTTTTAGGTCGTTTGTTTAGTTTCACATATGGGCTCTTGGAATTAACTATCGAGTTACTTATTTTTTAGACAACCATGTGTTAAAATAATAAATGTGTAGACAAATTTACCTAATTGTTTTTCTAAACATTAAAAACACTTTTAGTTTGTACTCCTTCTATACAATTTAACCAAAAATTACAGTAAAACATTTGTTGAACATAAATTTAAATTTCATAATTGTGTGTAAAACATGAAATTTTGGTTTACCTAAAATGTTTAGCTTTACAGTAGTGTGAATTTTAACAATATGTTAAAATATTTTATGCTTATCTCTTCCATAAATTTGTTTCTATATTTTACTTTATTGATTGTTTTGTTGCAGATAAAACTTTGCAACATACAGTACATGTACAGTTGCAGTAGTGGAGGAGATCGTTGTGCAGGAGTATCCGTGTAATGGTGCATGGATATGTGTTTAGAAAACTGTTAGAATAAAATATTTTTATTTTCATTTGAAAGTTTTATAGCAAGACTTGTCGAATATGCTTCATATCAATATCTTTAATACGAATTAGTATTATTGAAGTGGTGTTACTCCACTTATTATATAGTCCAATAGTTGTTTCTTTATATAGGTAACGGTGAGTATGGAATAGGATAAGAGCTACACCAGGATGGAAGACAAAGATTTATCTATTTGCAATTCAGATAATGTTCCTTCACACACTGCTTCGAGTAAGCAACCAAAGAAAACTAAACAGCTACATATGCTGATAGATGACGATGATGCTGATGATGAAGAAATTATGCAGTCATGCCATATATATAGTTCACAAATCAACAAGTTCAGAAATATGAAGAGGAAAGTAGTAGAGAAAGGTAAAGTTCGAATAAAATTTTGTTAATCAAAGAATACTTTCCTAAAATAAGATTTAATGAACTGGCTATTACATACGTACCTAGTAAAAAGAAAAATTTACTAGAAAATGTTAATTGGTAAAAGTTTGTCGTCTTTGCTAAGAACTACGTACATGTATCAAACGTGTACATTTTTATATTATATTGGAGACAATTAATTAAACTTTCAAACACTAGATAAAAATATATTTTCCTTATAAAATTATAAAACTATCAGACCTACATTTTTATAAGAAACTATGCTTATCTATATGAAAATGAAAATACGAGTTTATTCTGTCAATAAGGAATGAGGTACACGTGTCAAAGTGGATAAGTAAGAGATTAGAATTCGCAAATGTGTAGAAATGTTTAGATGTTTATGTAAATAGTTAAAAAAATGAAAAGTTATTTGATCATAATTACACTATCAAGTTAATTTTTACAAGAGAAAGAAAAAAAAGTACCAGTACATAAAATTTTGAATGATAATAATGAAATAATAACCTTGTTTATCTTGTAGGTAAACTTAAGTATTGCATATTATGTAATAAAATTAATTGTTTTTTGTAACTTAGGAAAAGGGAAATGGATTCACCAATGCAAAATGTTGCCTTATTAATTTTTGTTTTTTGAGGATTTTACTTGTTATTTGTATCATGAAAAGGGTATAGACTTGATATACTTAGATTTTCAAAAAAAATTGAAGATGTGCCACAAAAAATGTTAGCTAAGAAATTATATCAGTAGAATTGTAGGGTGATTGGGTGGAAGAAAGCAAAAGAAAGTTATTAATGGAGTTTGTTCAAATCGGACTCTTGTTACTAGTTGAGTGCCTCATGGATCATTACTTGAGCCTTTGCTTTTTTCTTATTTACTTGAATGATATTGATAGGGGCATAATTAGTAAAGTTTGTTTATAACATTAAGCTGTTGAGTACTTCTAGCTGTGTTGATAATATTGAGCTATTACAGAAGGTGTTGAATCAAATGGTAAGTTGGATATTTATCAAATGACTTTTAATTATAGAGTGTACAAAGTTATGCATTTGGGATATAATTTGGTTCACATGTTTTAATATAAATGGGAACCAACTTAACAGCATGACAGAAGAAAAAGGTCTTGATACTGTGGTGAATAGTCACTCAAGCCATTGCAGCAGTGGTCTGTTGCTATTGAGTCGTATTGATTACAAGTGAAAAGCAATACTTATAAAAATTACAGTTAAGTCTGTAGGCCTTATTTGGAATACTGTGTAAAATTTTAATCTCCTTATCTAAGAAAATATATTGACTTCATATAAAGGATTTGGAGGAGGGTTACTATGATGATTTTTGGGGATAGAAACGTTATCCTACAAGAATAGATTCATGTCTCTTAATTTGTTTTCTTTTAAGAAATGGAAGATAAGAGGGAATAGTATTGAATGAAATTTACAAGATTATCCAGTTGATCAATAGGATAAAATGCTGTAATTTCTTTGTGCTATATTCTGAAGATAATAGTATGAAAGACACAAGTTTTCAGTTTTTAAAAATATATGCTAGAATTCTAATAAGACAGTTTTATTTTTTAACAGGGTGATTGGCTTATGGAATGATTATCTTTGACAGTAGTACAGATCATCACACTACACGAATTTAAGTGGGATTCAATATTTTCCTGAAACAAAAGGGTGGGTTTAAATTTTACCTCTTTTCAGGGATATGTGTCCAGGGAAAACCTTGAAGAATCAAATGGCCCTTGTTATTGGTATGTTAATAATGCTATAGTTTATTAGAGCTGGGCAATTAGTGGAATTTGCTAATTGATTAATTGTTAGGCTCATTATTTGATTGTACTCAACTTTTATATTGTACTTAGATAAGACTTGGGTATTTGACATAAGCAAAAATATTAATAATCATAAAAACAAATTTTAATTTATTTATTCTCTGATATTAATTGATTTAGTTGTAATGTTAATTAATGGATTATTTTACTTGAGACTAATCACTAATCAATTCTCATAGGTAATTGATTAATCAAGTTAATTGCCCAGCTCTGCAGTTTGTGACTTCTACATTTATGCTTAGAGAACTGAATTTTTTTTTGATGACTTAGTTCTGTTGATGGATCCTGATGTGATTTCTGATGAAGAGATATCGGAACCAAAAAATAAGATAACTCGGAAGAAACGAGACAGAAAAACCCAAGTATGTGTAAACCTTGATGATTCTAGTGAAGACCTTCCACATTCAGAAGTTAGGTAATAATACAATATAACATGGCTTTTGATGAATTAGAATATTGAAAGAAGATATTACTTGTGTGTATTTAGCTACTGTATTAATGTTTTAAGATGTGAACATTTCATTTCTGTTCTTTGTAAATATATTATAAAAATGCTATACTTTTCAGACAACATTTTGCTTTTATTATGTACTTAAAATATCAGAATTGGTATAAAAACTTTTGATATATCTTTTTTTTTTTCTTTCTTGGTCACATTTTGCAGAGAACCTTTGTTTATGAAACACTACTCACCTTTCCATAGAACAGCTAGATTATACCTTGGGCCACTGCTGAGTGTATGTGATGCAGTTAGCATTATACTATAGCTGTACACCAATAGGAGAGCAACACGTCCTCCATGCACAGTACTCTCCTTGAGCACTTTGTTTATATCAAAAGCTTATACTTTTTCTCAACACTGCAGTGTTCAGACGTGCTGTAAAGAATTACAGAATTTTTGTTGGTTAGGACGCTTGACTCGCAATCTTAGTGTCGCGGTTTTGAATCCTCATCCCACCAAACATGCTTGCTTTTTCAGCCATCGGGCCATTATAATTGATGGTCAATCCCACTATTCATTGGTAAAAGAGTAGCCCAAGAATTGGCGGTGGGTGGTGTTGACTAGTTGCCTTCCCTCTAGTCTTTCACTGCTAAATAAGGATGGCTAGCACAGATAGCCCTTGTGTAGCTTTGCACAAAAATCGAAACAATTGTGCTCCATTTTTTCCCTTTCGTTACATTGGCTACAGAGTGTCTGATTAATTAGAAACACAAAATATACCTAATGACAGACCAGAATATATAAAATTTAAACATTTTTCTTTTTCAGTTTGCTGTGATATATATAAATTTGCCAACCAACCAGTGAAGCTACTTCCATTTTATCACGGCCAGGTGGTTAGGGCGCTCGACTCGCAATCTGCGTGTCGCGGGTCGAATCCCCGTCCCACCAAACATGCTCGCCCTTTCAGCCATGGGGACATTATAAGTGATGGTCAATCCCACTATTCGTTGGTAAAAAGAGTAGCCCAAGAGTTTGCAGTGGGTGGTGATGACAGGCTGCCTTCCCTCTAGTCTTACGATGCTAAATTAAGGAAGGCTAGTGCAGATAGCCCTTGTGTAGCTTTGCACAAAATTCAAAAAACAAAATCATTTTGTCATACCTTTCAAGAAAGTTATCTATACAGCATGATTTTAGTTGGTGGCTTTGTTTTTAACCAATAGAAAAAATATTTTTTCCTCTACAAGATTTTAAGTAAGATTGTTTCTTTATGGCAGCAATAAATAAACAGTTGGTTTTAAATTTTTTAACCTATTTATAGCTTATTTAGAAAGCCAGTTACATAACATTAGTTTGGGACATTATTCTACAGTGCATGATGTAGTTTTTTTTTCTAAAATGTGTATTTGAAAGCTACATTATTTATTTTTGCCAACCAACATAATTACAAAATTAGAACTATTGAAGCACTGCTCCTAAGTAAAATACAGCCTCAGTACAAATGTATGTGCTAAATTTTTTATTTATTGTTTAAAAAATTTTTTAACAAAAGTTATGGAAATGTAAAAATTATAAACTTTTTATGTTAGGTAATAATATTTATCTCACTGATGAAGCTAGAAAAGCTCTTGTGGTTAGTGTGTGTTTTACAAACTGACTGTAACCTGATTGTTTCTTACCTTGAGCTGTACTAGGAACATTCCACTGATTTATTGTTCTTATGTGCAGAGAGAGGCTTCATGTTACAGAAATTAAATAGCGATATTATAAACAAGCAGATATGAAAAGGCTAGAACTAATTTTCTATTACTATTTGCAATCATTTTCGAAAAAAAGTATTATTGATTTTATTGTATATTTTTCGATTTGTCATCTCACAACGATGATTTGCTACATGTAGTGATAGGGTAAAATAAATATCAAGTTCGTCTAGGACGTCGTAGAGATTATATAGATGAAATATAAAAATTGTAAAATGAAAGAAAGTATTTTTTATATTCAGCATGAAAATCACCTTTGACTTGCTAAAGGCTATATAATCTCAGAAAATCTAGTAAAAATACCTTTTTAAAAATGTTAATTAGTTGTGTACACTAGTCTTACAACATTTACTAAAAGCTTGCCAAATTTCATACGTGTACATTTGTTAAATTCATAATTATAGTAAGCATTACTGTGTATAGCTTCACAGGTACAGAAGTTCAGTAGACTGACATTGTGTCCACAGGGATGGTTAGTGACATCTTCTAGCAAGAATCTTGTAGAAAGCCATGTGTGTGTAAAATATTTTAAACTTATCTAATAATAAGTAAGCAGGCTATAAGTGTAACTAATAGTAAAAAATGTTCTAATCTATTCTAAGTTACTCATAATGTTGCGGTATAGTTATGTGTTAGTACTTGTACTTCCTTATTTTAATCACACAGCCCTCTGGTGGCTCAGTAGTAAGCTTAAAGGATTGTAATGCTAAAATTTGGGGTTCCATATTTGTGATGGGCACAGTGCAGATATCTCATTGTATAGCTTTGCACTGAAATACAAATAAAAAAAATAATATTTTTTAATACAAATATATATTTTGCAGTATTCCCAATAAGCTCTTGTAACAGCTTGAATTGTCTCCTGCATAATAAAACATTTTTTTAAGCATGAAATGTCTAATTTCTATTCAAATATTTCAGCCAAGAAAAGATAGAAGAAGAACTCAGGTCACCTTCACCACCACCACCTGTGCATCTCACAGGTTATAAGACCAGAAAAGTTAGCTCTAAAAGTAACAAGCTATTCAAGTAAGATAAAATCATTCATTTTTTTGTAATGTGAGACTTCTTCTGAACTTTTAGCATTCAACTGATAAACCCCTCTTTCTTAATACTGTTGTGCAATATTAGTGTAATGTTAGGCTAGTTTTGTTGTAAAATGAATTTTATTCGTTATTAAAACAGAAATTAAGTTGTAGTTGCAGGTCTGTTTTGTCATAAATGAAAATTAGGAATGCTGAATGTGTATTTTATATATATATATAATTGAATATATGATTTGCTGACAGAATAACTTATAATAAAGGTACAGTTGTTTTAAGCTTCTTTTATTTATTTGAAACTTATGAATTGGTCCTTAGATCATTACTTCTCACCCCCTAAGTACTTGCTTTGAAATATATTTTTCACTTTTTCTTAATGTCCATGAAGGTGCACGTGCTAATAGTAGTGCTTGACGATACTTGTCAGAATCTATTTTAACATGGGAAAGTGAGAGGTTGGAAAATTGGCTGAAATGTTAAATTTTTTGTAGAAAAATAGTACAAATCTATGATGACAAAAGACTTGCAATGAGTCATGCTCTTAACCTATGCAAGTTAGTCATTTATATTATTTATAGTGGGCATTTGTAGTTTTAAATACGTTGTGATAGTTAATGATTTTCAACTTTACACTAGAAATTATAAGAAAAACTATGAAATAGTTCTTGAAATTCATCAAAATATTCTTGAAAAATTTGGAAATTACTGTTGAATTGTTTTCTGCTGAAAGTTCAGAAACCCTGAAAACTAAGTTGGAAAACTATCATGAAAGAACAGTTACAAGGAAAGGTACCATAATGTGTACCTGTGGAGTATGAAGTACACTATATCAGTAAAACGATGCATACCTAATAAAGAACATTTTACTTAGAGGGATTTTCTGTTATCTTTTTCAATGTGCTCACTGTTGCATATATTTGACATTTCTATTTATCAGTCTGTTTAATCTCATACTGCTTTATTGACAGAGTTGGTTTAGGCTTTTAATCTCCATACATCATTTGGTGCCGATGGTTTTTAAATTCCATTGATTTTTTTTAATTACTTGTTTCTTTCCTTGAAGGCTTACTAATTAAGAAATATGGCTATGGGAAATGGTCGTATCAATTTTGAATGCTTTAAGTGTGTGTACTCAAAATAGTCTTGTACAACAAAATATGATGGGGGCTATTTATCTCGTAGAGAGGGGTTGTAAGAATTGTTCACTTGTTCTGTTTAACCGTGAAAATTTTACTCGAATCGGCTATTCAGTAATCATGTTAAAGTATTTTAGAATTTAGTTAGTGCATTCAAATTAAAATGTTTAATACTTCTGAAGCTTTTTTTTGTATCTAAATGTCCCTGTGAAATAGTTCTGTTCAGTTATTGCTCTTGTAGTGAGACAAATGTGCAAATAAAGCAAAATATTTTTTGATTTTTGACATCACTAGTTAGAATTTGATTGTTGCAGATGGAATCCACTTTGCACAACATTGTTCACTTACTAATACTTAAGTTTGTGCCATGGCACCTGTGTAGATAAAACTTACTAACATATGAAGTGAAGCTACAAATTTAACTTCTATTAACCTCTTGCATATCTCAGGCTTTATATATACTTCAAAAGAAATATTTTTTAGTATTATCAAATAATATCAAATTGAGCTAGTTACAGTTTTTATTTAGACACTTTAATCTCCAAGTATTTTGTATGAGATATATCTTCTGTAATTAACTTTTCATACAGTACTCCTAAATACCCGAAGCCAGACACATGAGTTAGATGTGTGTTGTGAAAACTGATTTTAGGCTTTCTTTTGGTGTACAATCAGGAACTCGTAATGACTTTTTATATTCTTGTCTGTGGAGAATGTTTAGTTTTATATCACTGACACAGAACAAATACACTTACACTGCTTACATTACTTGAAAGGCTTACCTCCTAGATGAAATTAAAGCACCCAAATTTGTTATTGAAATGTTATTCCAGCAATTATATATATAATAAAATAACTTTAGTTTTGGCTTAATACACCATACAAGCTTTCATTTTTGTTGCTTGTACAAAAAGTATTTAATTTGTTGATAATATGAAGTCAAGATCTATAGTGCAGCTAAAGTTTAAACATGTATGTGAAAGTCTCTTATATCTAAATATTTCTAGTAAAGGAAGAGAAAATTTATTTTTTATCTTCTACCATTTAAGCTTCTTTTCACCCTCATCTACTATTTATGTCCTGTTTATAAAGCAGCATGGGAAGGCCTTTTATACAATACTTATGGATTATTATTATTAAGAAAACTCAAGGCAGTACAAAAGTGTTCCGTGATTCTAGCTAAAGAAACATATTTCTGCGTCTTCTATCCTTTTTGATTTTCAGAAGCATGATGTCAATAATGATGTAAATGATGTAAGGTTGGCAGTAAGAAAAATTTGTTCACTGTTAATTCATGAGTCCACATTTTGTTTTATGTCAACCTGAAATATACTGCCAATCCCAACTTGTTTTTCAACACAGGAATCATTTCTTGCTTTTTCACTCTTAATTCCTAAATTCTTAAATATTGTTTTGTGTGTGTGTGTAGGCTTATAAGTATATTATTTATTTAATTTAAAAAAAACAAACAGATTTCATTTTGTGCAAGTGATTTTTTTTAGATCTTTTAAACGAGAAGATGGTATTTGACGTGTGCTTTGTTATATCCATTGTGTGTGACATGTAAGGAGTTTCTGAAGTAAAATAGAGCAAAAAAGTAGCTTATAAATAGATTATAACTATACTAATAAACATTTTGACTGAGTATGTCTGATGTGCATACATTTTGATTTGGAAATGTTCTACAATCCTTGAATTGTAATTAAATCTAAATTTTTAGTGTATATCACTTAGATCACATCAGAAAATTCAGGAACTATTTCATCTAATTTTTTTCAGCTTTCTGTGTGCATTGCATATGGAATTATTCTCTGACAGTATTTGCTTTTTTCATCATACAGCTGGAGGGAAAAATTTGCTTCCTATATCAGTCTTTTTTTATTATTATTATTTACTGTGTGATCTTGTTCCTCTTGTACTTATTTTTCCTGCTCAAGTGACATTACTTTACAAAATTTATTTCTTGCTCGATTTAGCTAGTGAATGACATAGATCTGATATATTTGCTCTCTAAACCTGTGTATTATGTGGAAACTTTTGGCACATTCATCAGCTTTATAAAAGTCATATTTTCTGGCAAAATGGCAGTACTTTTTTTGCATCTTCTTTTCTGTTATATTTTGTGCAAATAGATATATATGTGCTTAGTCTTCTATTATAGTATTTGTTGCTTACTTGTACCTTTGTCATATAGAAACTAAGTTTTATGAGATATTGTTTTATTTTCTAAAAATTAGGGAACTGCAAGAGGCAGAACTTGTGTACAAAGCAACTTGTCTGATCTACAATGATGATGAACTTAGCAATTCATTTCAAGAAAATGCAGTAAAAGTTGATAATTGTGACCGAGAAATTCAAGTTAAGATAAGGTGGCGTGGCTCCATTCATAGAATCTCAATGAAAAGAGTAAGTTTTTCACCACTTGTTGCACTGTAAAATGTAGCACAATGTTTGAATTGTTTATAAAATGAAAGTGAATTATTGTTTATTTCCAACAGTTGCAAAAACCAGGTATTTTAATATCATTTTAAATAAAACTTTAATTCTAATTATATTTTATTGGGTAGGCATAGGAAAGCAACATGAGAAGGAAAAATACATCAGTACTAAATTATTTGTTAGTGTTTATATAGATATTAATTTGGAAACACTTTCTTTTTCACTCAAAGATAGAAAATATCTGTGGTCAATTGTATATATTTATACTGAATCCATTCTCACCTGAAGGGTTATGAATTTTCAGGGAGGTTGATTTTATCTAATTGTAAATCTTCCATTACATCTCTCATTTAGATTGAATGTCATTGGATTGCAATATATTATTTGTATTTTTATTTCCACTATGAAAAGTTGAATGACAGTGTTTGTTAATTTGTGAGTTCAGGCACTGAATCAATTGAATTAAGATCATTCTTTTGATGATTATTTAATGACGTAAGGTTGGTATTTGAAAACAGTGAACTTGTTTTAATATAGAAATACAATTGATTCACCTTATTTTCTTTCGACACAATACATAAAGAGTTGTATATGCTTGAACTTATCCCAACCAAAGTGTACATTAGATTGAATTTTATTTTATGTAAAAAACATTAACTCTTTCAGCACGGGCTCAGTCCCTGGGACCAACTTTATAACCATTTTGTGCTCGTTACAGTTTTCATGCTATAGCTTTTAAATTAGTAAGCAAATGTTAACGAAATTTGGCAGACTATCA